ACATGATGATAAAAGAGACATCGTAGAATTTATGACTTTTGTATTTGGTTCTACATCTAAGAATATTGATTCTTTACTCAAACAAAATATATAGCTGTTTTAAAAATGATTTATTGTGATTAACGTTGTATAATTACAAAACATACTAAGTAGTTAGAATTTAAAGGAATAATACTAATTGCAAACAACTCGACATATATAGATAAAAATAATTAAAACGATTTAAATATTCGCAAAGAAAACGTTATCTTAATAGTAGTTAGCTTGTAGCTAACCTCGAAAGAGTCCGGATGTATGAGTAGCCAGAGAGGTCAGGCAAAGGGTCACGAAATCGCTCTCCCGTATAAGCTCGTGAGTTTAAGGAGGTCGAGTGGACCTCTCTATGCTTCCACCTTCTACAACCACTAACGTAACCACTGTCTCCTTATATACCGAACCATTTTCCCAACCTCCTATCCTTTCTTCTCCTCATTCTCCACCCCATTTCCCGTTACTGCATTTCCCTTCCTTTCTATCTTAATAACTGAGAGGCGAAATAACGTAAGTATAACCTTGGCAAAAGCAAACCTCTTCTTATTCTCTTTTCTATTCGTTTCTTATTCATCTTATCATCAACGAAAAATTTTCTTACTACCCATATTACGATGTTACTGCGCATAATACAAATCTTATGATATAAAACAAAACAAACATCCATGTTTTCTTTTATGATTTTTATTAATTTATATTATATATTTAATCATAATTTAATTTAATCTTTTTCTATTGCATATACATATAATAGGAATACATAATGAAGTATTTAATTATCCAAGTAATCTTCCTTGATAAATGCTGCGCATCTTTCTCCGATCATATTGATCGGAGCAGTGGGATTGCCGGACACAACCTGTAATAGATCGGGAAATATTATTTATCATGAAATTCTACAAGAAATAAAAACTATAGGAGATATCTAAGCTTTCAACTGGGAATCCTTACTTTTGGCATAATCGATGCATCGGCTACTCTCAATCCTTCAATACCATAGACTTTTAATTTAGGATTAACAACAGCCATTGGATCGTCGCTAGAACCCATTTTACAAGTACCGGCTTGATGATTCTCTGGTCTCGTATTCCAATGTATTTCACATATCCAATAATCATCGCTATCGTATTCATAGTCAGAACATGGTTTTGATAGCTTTTTAACGTGTTCCAATTTATATTTTGCCATTACCGAAGAATTAGCTAAAGTTTGGATATAGCGAATTCCCTGAAGAATAATCTGACTGTCTTGTTTATGGCTGAGTTCATTGCTCCAGATTAATGGATCATGAAGCGGATTATTGCTGTTTAACGTTATACGTCCTAAAATAAATGAGACAATAAAAATATATCCACAGATAGGAATCGATATAACTTAAAATTAAATATTTACCTCTGCTCAAGGAATGGAGATTTACAGACGTCATTTGGACAGTTTCTTTGTTATTGTACGTTTTTAGATTCGCGATGCCTAGTTTACTAGTACAAATCGCTTGATAGCCGGCAAAGAATATTTGAATATCAGGATCATCTTTGGTAGTAAAAGTTGAGGAAAGAATACCAGTTACTTGAGCTAAACCGCTTGACGATAATGGGCCGGTCTGATTGTAGAGATACAAATCGGCGGAATTGATGTTCAATTCTGATTGGGGCATTTGATTTAAAGTAAAATCTAGACCATAAGATACGTGATTGTGCAGATTTTCACCGACTCCTGGTAAATCATGTACCAAGGGAACTTTTGCAGACTTCAAAACTTCTTTAGGACCAATTCCGGAGTCAAGTAATATTTTCGGCGAATTTATTGTTCCTCCTGATAATATTACTTCGCGTTTTGCCTTTACTGTATAGGTTTTTCCATTCTAAAATAAATTTAATAACTTTCGTTATTGCATTGGATCAATTGAATTTTGATTTCTTTAAAGTTTTACTTTTTAAAAATAATAATCGTTGGTGTTAAAAGTTATTTAAAATGCAGCGATAATAACAATTCGAAGAAAAATATCGTGCTGTACCGATAACGTTTTCTAGAAATGTTAAAAGAAAGTCTACACTATCTAATAATGTATTCAAGATAAGTGAGACATGAATATTAAATAAAGTGACAAGTAAATATTAAGATAACACTAACGGTGTTTCCCTATTTACTCAAAAAAGTAATAGTCTGATTATTTTCTTACTTTCATATATTTTACGCCGTAAACTTTCTTGTTCCTTAGAAGAACTTTAATGACAGTTGCATTTAGGAGAACTTTAACTCTGTTTTTATATTTATATGGTCTGAGATATGCAGCAGCGGTACTTTGTCTGACACCATCTTTACTCAAAGTTTGAGCCACAGTGAATCCTGTTATTTGATCGCCTACCAAATCCTCACTTACTCCCAAACCTGTTTCATTGGCCGCTTCGAGAATGGACCAAGCAAAGGCGGGTTGCCATGGAAACCTGAAGTACTCATTTTTAATTTAGAATAGGTATGTTTAGTCATAAGCATGTTTGTTTAGGAAAAGTCACTTTTACAATTGAAGATATATTATAAATTTTTTAACGAAATATTAAGATCTTTAGAAGAATAATACAAACCTTTCTACTGTCATGATTCCACCGGTAGCATGATATTTCGCACTAACTCTACCAATTTCTCGATTATCCTCGGACATTAAGAAATATGGCATTACCTGTAATAATCGAATTAGAGAAATAAAATCTTTATCTTCTAGCAATAAATTTTTATACGCGTCTATAATATCTAATGACGTGTTACTTATCAAAATTTTTTGTGATACATTATTTATGTTTTTTTTTTTTTTTTTTTTTTTTTTTTTTTAAAGCTTTTATGAATAAATGTTACCTCGTCCCAGGTCCAACCTTCGCAACCCATTTCATACCAACGGTCGTAATCCTTGGCATGTCCCCGATGATAAGCCATACCATGATGAGCGGTACAACCTCCCAGGTTTTTGCCTCTCGGCCAACTACAACTTTTATTAGTAGATAAGCAGACATGAGATTCGTTCGTAGTTTTGTATTTCCAATCCAACGATGTTCCTAGAAAACATAGAACGTTTGATTTTTTCCTCAAACGTTTAAATTTTGAAAATCACTTATATAGACGCAAACGAATAGAACATATGAACTATACCGAGATAAGCTTGAAAATAACTTGGAATTTCTGCACCAGCTGGCTCATCTGGACCAGCTTCTATTAAAAGTACCTTCCACTTTTCAACTTCACTTAATCGAGCTGCTACTATTGGGCCAGCGGCTCCACCTGACACCAATTAATACTTACATTTTACATTGATACATTTACAAAGGTACATTCGATCGATCAATACGTATTTTTTCCGCCTTACCTCCTACAACAATGAAATCGTAGATAATTTCGGTTTTTTCCACAGGCGTGATTCGCCCACAGGGATCGCCTATCTTAGGATTGAAGGTTACTAAAGTACTTAGCAACGAAAAGAATAATGCCATTTGATTGGTTACACAGACATCAGATAATGTCATTCCACTCAAGAATGGATGTGAGCAATTAGTAGCTTCCTCCACCATATTACTCAAAGCCTACAATCGTTCAAACATATTAAATGACATTTTATATTGTGAATTTATCGATAGATACTCTTTCCTATTATTTTTTCAAATAATAATTCTATTTTAAATCTGATCTAAGATGAAATATTGAAAAAAGGATATTCTAGTTTAACACTTTATCGTTCGTTGTTACATAGACATGATTTCTCTTAGCCAGCGATTATTAGCCAAAATCGCGGGAATGTAACTTTGCATTGTCAATTTTAAGCGATTTTATTAAATTAATTTACTTAAATTTTTCCCTTTCAATAAATATATTATAATATTGTGCTATGAACGATCGTTCGAAAAGCGATCCCATATATACGCGAGAGAACCGACGATCAGCAATAGTTTTTTAGTAAAATACATTGTCGTCGGTGTCAAAAATATGTCATATAAGACGCATTTAGTTATTCATTACGTAATGTGATTGTTCAAATCATCATGTAACAAGATAACAACGCGAAGTTGAACAATGCCGAATATCAAGAGTCATGGAAATTAATAAGAAAATCATTCTAGCGAACACATACCATTTTGAATCGGTTGATTTGTCTCGTCGGATTTATTAAAAATACGTCTTGTCGATCCGTTGCAATGCTTGGCGACTACAACAGATTACTGCGTATTGCTTTCTTATATAGCTGTATTTTCCGGTGATATATTCACCGAAACGTTCGTGAGTGATTACACGATGTTATATATTATCCTACGTATAAGCTATCAGAACATACGAATAGAATAATCACTTTTGGTGTCGTTTCTTTGGCGCACCTATACATTGGACTTCCCACATTTTCAAATCACTTATACATATAATATTTGCTAATGAATTCTGGCTCTTTTCAAATTCCATTCATCATTGAAGTTTCGATAAACACAAGTGTTTCGTTGAATTATGAATTATGAATTTTAAAAAAAGATTGATTAATGAAATTTCAGGGTTAATAATCATAAATATAGGGTTAGTAATATATAAATATACCAATTATCAGACAATAATTAATTATATTGGAATAATTATTTAATTATTATTTACATTCTTTTTCAGTGTTTTTTTTTTTTTAACGCTTAAGAGGCCTAACATTAATATTTCTCTTTAATCTGCTTTTTGTTTTTATTTTAACTTCAATAAAAATCATTTATCTTGTCTTATTTTTCCTAGTTCCCGAAATCTTTGGTTCAAATAATGGCAATTACCAAAAATATCAAACTTTCACTAGATCGATATGGATATGTAAATTCAATTTCATTCATAAACTATATTAATTGTCTAATACAAATATATCGTAATCAAGGGACAATTTAGCGAATAAAATTATATAGCAGAAAAATAAAAGATACGAGTCTGTGCAAATAAAAAATATAGCAGACACGTATCTTTGTTGGTTTTTTTCTTTTTTTTTTCTTTTTTTTATTGGTCCTTGAAGAATATTAATTGGCAAACAAATGGGAGCGGCTGTTCTTGAACGAATCATTAATTAAGATAGAATGGTAGAAGGTCCGTCTCAGAGATAGTCGTAAAACGACAAAGAATGTATTTTCTAGCTCTTTGTTGTACTTTCTGTATCTCGATAAAACGAAACAGAAAGAAATTTGGTCGAAAGATTCAATGATAACGGACATTATCCATATCCTCTTGTTCTATCGTGAAAGAGTTCTATTCGGACCGATTGATCGGGATATATATTAAAGTATCTACGAAGTTATAAGAAAGAAAGAAAGGAAGAAGGTTTCACGGCAGTTCGCTGCGGGCATCCCGCTGGATCCGTTTCGTCGTTTTCGTCGCCTTGTATTGGCGCATCGACGTCGCATAGCTTTGAGAAAGTCGATGTTTCATGGACTAGAAGTCGAGCCGGGAATGCGGGATTACTACTACCAGATAGCCTGGTCCCAGTCGATGTATTTGATCCCCCATAGCAAGAATTCCAGCGAACTGTCGATCGTCGAACGAGAACTAGGAAACATGGTAAATTGCTGATGACTAATGGCCTTTCCATTGGAGGTTTTTCCTAAAGGTTGTAGCTTTCCCGTACCATTGTGTCGCACCAGCACCCCAGTCGGACTTGATGAACGCTGCCGCTCTCTCGCCGATCATAATTGCTGGAGCACCAGTGTTACCGGACGTGACCTTGGAAAGAAAAAAGAATTACAATTAAGAAAGATAATTTTTAATAAGATTGAAAGAAAATGAAAAGTTTAAAGAAAAATTTCAGATGAAATTTATACGCGATCATAATGTCACGTTTTATATGAAAATTCACCTGAGGCATTATAGACGTATCTGCTACTCTTAGATTTTTAATACCATGAACTCTAAGCTGAGGATCTACTACAGCCATTGGATCGCTAGATGGTCCCATCTTGCAAGATCCTGCTTGATGATTTTCAGGACCTGTATTCTGATGAATCGCACAACTCCAATACTCATTACTGAGAAATCTGTATTGAGAGCACGCGGGTAATGGCATATTACTGAGACTCATGTTATATTTTGCCATCGCAGATGTATTAGCAAAAGATAATGCGATTTGTATCCCTTCAAGCAAAATAGCGGCATCGATTGGATCGCTCAAATAGTTTCCCCAAATAAGCGGCTTTTCAAATGGATTATTACTAGCTAATTGAAGGATTCCTACAAATATTTACAATGCGATAAGATTGGCTTAAACCGATTGATTAAAAATTTTATTATGTTTGTGAAAACATTTATTTTATAAAATTACGATTTATTATAGAAATTACCTCTACTACGTGGTTGAACATTCGTTGGAGAAATGCTAATACTACGACCTTGATTATCCATAACTGCTCCTACCTCGCCAGTAATTGCGCAAGCCGCTTGATAACCACCGAAATAAAATTGAATATCAGGATGATCTGGTGTGGTATAGCTCGACGGTATAATTCCTGTAAGTTGGGACATGCCAGTCGAGGACATAGGTCCTTTATGAAAAGCGATATATTCCAGGAGAGATGCCCAATTCAAATCAAATAAATTTGGTTGATTAATAGTCCAAGAGAGGGTATATGACACATGATTTTGTAAATTGTGTCCAACTCCTGGTAAATTTTTAACGACGGAAACATTGACGGCTTGTAAATGTTCCTTCGGACCGATTCCCGATAACAATAGCAATTGAGGAGAATTTACGGCTCCGCCAGAGATAATGATCTCACGTGAAGCTCGTGCTATGCGAAATTTACCATCCTGCAAGAAAGATAGATCTAATTTGATCAACAATCTAATTTATAAAACATTATTATGAGGAATATTCTCCTCACTTGATAGTATTGGACTCCGACAGCCTTGAGATTTTCAACGATGACCTTGGTGACAGTAGCGTTAAGAGCGATATGAAGATTACGTCGATTGCGCATAGGACGTAGAAAAGCATCGGAGCTGCTTACTCTAACTCCATCTTTGCTGGCCATCTGAGCTATAGTGAATCCCGTTGATTGAGCACCGTTGTTATCCTCCGTAATCGGATATCCTCTCTCTGCAGCCGCACTCAAAATATCGCGAGTAATTTCGGGTTGCCAGGGGAATCTCTCAATCGTCCAAAGGCCATCGGCGGAATGGTATTCGCTGCCGACTCGATTGATTTCTGTATTATTCTCCGAGCACATAAAGTATGGCAATACCTAAGAAAATATGAGAAAGTGTATCGTGAGTATTCGGCCTGGGAGATTATTGTTACGTGGATTACTCTCGCACGGTTCTCGACGTCGTCGATTATGAAACGTTTCTCTTGTTAATAACAACTCTTCTTTCTTTCTCTTTGGATTTTCCTCTACGAGTTCATAAAAGTAGTAATGTTAACATGTATGTCTTGGACAATTTAACACTTAAAATTCTTTTTTAAGATTTCCTTTGTCCGAAACACAATCGTCGTATATAATTATATTGAAGTATTTTAAAATATTCCTTGAAAAACGTATTCTATTCATTTTTATTATCAAAGAGTAAGGAATGTAAGATGTTACCAGTATCGCTTGGCGGAAACAAGCAACTAATTAACTTGTTAACAAGGAGAACGAATTAAATCGATTCACAACAAGAAAGACTTCATTTCTTTTCTGACAAAAGAATAAATAAATCATTTGTTTTCCACTCTAATTAAAAAAAAAAAAGTTGGATTTCCTAATTTTACATTTCACAATGAATTAATTTATCCAAAGTTTCTTCTCTACGTTCTAACCATTTTATTTTTAATCAAAATAAATATCGTACATCCATGTTCACCGATTAAAAATATTCCCCGGTTAACAGGTTAACGAAATTTAACATAAGTAGGTATGCCTCGATACCTCTTGCCAAGTCCAACCAACATTTCCCATGGCAGCCCAGTTATCATAATCCTTTGCGTGTCCACGAATATACATCATGCCGTTATGCGCAGAATTTCCACCTAGATTTTTACCACGAGGCCAATTGCAAGATCCACCACTCGATAAACAAGCATACCTCTCATTAGTAGTTTGATATTTCCAATCAATATCGGTACCTATCAATAAGAATGTTTAGCCCATAAATAAATATAAGTTAAATCGAGCGAGTATACAACTTGTCATAAGAAACTTAAATTAACATACTTATTACGTTTTAGTTTTTATATTGTGAGATTCTAATTCTTCTATTTTTTCTTTTTTTTTTTTTTAATACTCTATAAATATGCAGCCTTTCACTTCTAAATATCTGGTCACGTTACCGAGTTAATTAAGATTTCCTGTTGAAACTTACCGAGAAACATCGCTACCATACTCGGAACGTTAGCACCTGGTGGCTCGTCAGGACCTGCTTCGAGAAGTAAAACTTTCCACTCGGGTATGTCGCTCAATCTAGAAGCAACTACGGCACCTGCCGATCCACCTAACATAAAGAATAATTAGATATTCAATCGATTTAATTCTTTAAAAGCATCTCTCTTAAATCATCAGGATTCTGTATACGATATAAAACTTTGTATATCTCCATATATCGATTACATTAGATCGACCAATAAATAATGTCAGAATTTTCGATAAAATATACTAGTGCTATTTATTTAAATATAAAATATTAAAAATTCTAAAATTCCAAAATAAATTGGTTTAATCTAATTTATGCGTATCGCATTTATTGACGTATATTCGTTGATATATCAAACGCTATCAAAAGAAATTGACGTGCATTCACGTACGCGGTAAAAGTTATACAACGATGATTTAAAACACGCGGGTAATCGTAATTAGCAGTATCATTGCACGATTGCGAAAAAATGTTTATCGAGAGTGTATTGGAAAGTGAACCATTAAGACCTTGGCCATGGTCGACTACCAGCTTCAGTAATCGTAACCTGTATACCGGTACTCGCATTGCCACACCGTTATTTGCCTTCTATGTAGATCTCCAGGTTTGTATTTCGAATTCTAAATCATTTAACAACATTAGGTAGTACTATGTATTCGGACAAAGATAGATTGAAATAATTAGTAACGAATGCATCAAAGGAACGTCTATCCGAGTATTCTGCTTCTATCTCTCTTCGTCTAGATCCCTCTCTTCCTTGTTCGGTCTCCGACTAAGAGAAGATAATTATACGGATAGGAAGGAAGAGCTAAGCAAAGGTTCGTTTTCAGAGCACTGAATTCTCTACGATTAACCGTGCGTCGCATGCTATCGCACCTTTGTGCGCACCTAGCAAACGAAATGTTAATTTAAGCTCTGCAAACCAGTCGTTGAACTCTCTTGTTCCATCCAGAAATCGGAACGCTTGTCGAGTACTTTCGAGATTTGTAAATTGCCCCTCTGGTTATCAGCCACGTCCTAGTTTCCAGTCGAGTAGCAAAGCGTTATGAGCGTTACCAGCATAGCTTATACGAAAACGTCGACGTTATCGTTCGAAAAAGAATGCTTTTTTTTTCAGCGATAATCCCTTCCTATCCTCTTCTGAAAGAGTCTGTCATATTTCTTTTTTCACAGTCGTAAGTACGGGTAAACAAGAATGATCGTCTTCGCGTACACCTGTTCGGCGTACGTTTGTGTACGCATACAAGTTAAGTGCGGCAATTAGTCGTTCAACTGACCCTGATGTTTTTTCGAGGTCGGTCGAGTACAGCATGTATTGAAACTTAAAGAGAGAGAGAGAGAGAGAGTGAGAGAGAGAGAGAGAGAGGGAGAGGGAAAGAGAAAGAAAAAGAGAAGGGGAAGAGAGAGAGAGAGAGAGAAGATAAGAGTATAAAAGAAATAATGAAAGAAAGGAAGTGGGGAAAGAGGAAAAGAGAAAGAGAGAGAAAGAAGAAGGAGAGAGAGAGAAAGAGAAAGAAATAAGAAGATTAGAGAGGGAGAGAGAGAGAGAAAGTGAGAAAGAAAAAGAATGGAGAGGGAGAGACAGAGAGAGAGAGAGAGAAAGGAGGAAAGAGGATGGAGAGGGAAAGAGAAAAAGAGAAAGAAAGAAACAAAAAGTGGGAGAGAGAAAAAGAGGAGGATAAACAGGTAGAGATAGAGACAGAAAGAACCTGAAAGGGAAACTAATACAAGATACCGTCATTATATCTTTACGTTTCTTTTCGTTTCTATCCAACAAATCGAAGCCGCGACTTCGTTTCGCTTTCGGACGTAATAGCGCGGAAAATGAAGCGTGCTTCTATCGTTCCACCTACTTGAGATCGTTTTCTTTTCCACGTGTTCAATATAGGATGTCCTAGAGGATATAATCGATAGAAATAGAGGGATAGAGGATCAGTGAAATTGGCCGTCGTCTATTCGTACGACAATACGAATCGCTCGAAGCAGGAGATCGTCGTTATTGGCCTTGCCAATTTCAACAACTTTCCCACTTTCTCTTTCTTTAAAGGGAAAAAGGGAAAGGAAGTTAATCATGTTACTTTTCTTCCACGACGATGTGATATCTTGGATCTTTCTATAGGGATCCTAAAACGTTTTGAAATATCGTTAAAATAGAATAGATAGTACGATGGATATGAATGAATGTCTAAACATAGACTAAATTAATCGTATAGATGAATCATATATTTGAAAAGGTGATTTTAATACATTTTTACTATTAAATATTCAAATATTCTTTTTTTAAATAAGTTTTTATATCTTACTTAAATATATTCAAGTTAATTTTCATTTTATTTTTCCTTGTTAGATTTTAAATATGCTGACAACAAAAATAAGATATATTCAAAATTATCATATGCAAAAAATGTCCCATTAAAATACGACAAAATGATAAAAAATTAGTGTATGTGGAAAAGTGTTTTTTGAAAAAGCGTGCATTTTGACGAGATAATAAAAATGCATTCATAAGTATACAAATAGTCCATATAAGGTAAATTCGATCAAAATATCGATCTTAATAAAACTTTTTTCTTATCCTTGTTTCTTCACGTACGTGTACGTTCGTTTCGAACGAAAAATCGTATACGTGAGATACGAACCGAAACGCAAGTCTATCCTTTCACGCTAGCAAATTCTTAATTCATAAAGGCGATAAGGCTGGACGCGTGCTCGGTTTCTTCCTCTTGCTCGACATTTCTTCTTCCTCTGGAAACTCTCTACCTCTCTCTTTCTCGTTACCTCTCACAATCGGTATAATACGAGCGCGTGCGAGGCAAGTCGAGGAAGTATGAGAGCACCAGGTGAAAACGGTTCGTGGCATGATGGCAAAAACCAGAGACTTGCATAAGCCAAGTAGTGAGTAGAATGAGCGAATAGTTATGCGCACTTACTGAAAGCTGTTCAACACTCTACTACATCGTCCGACATAAACATTCCCGCGTCCACATACGTGAATACATCCTCCTCTTCTCAACCTCAAACATCTCTGATCTTCATATTGATTGCACTTATGATTTTTCACCTCGCATTTTTCCACGTCTTTGCGTGTAACTTATCGATCGACTCTATCAATTTAAAATATATCTACTGACGACATATTCTAGTTATCTACATTTTTCTCTCACCTCTCTCTCTCTCTTTCTCTCTTTCTCTCTCTCTCTCTCTCTCTCTCTCTCTCTCTCTTAGAACGTAACAATGACATTTAAAGGTTCCATTAAAAATTTGGATAGAAGATAATAATTCTGTTACTTCTTGTGTCACGTAAGATCAATCAACATGATACATTATTTTTCACCTTCATTCGTTTTTCTTTCTAAAAAAAGAAACTGGTTGAGTATATAAATAGATGTCCTTATAAATCTTCAGAAAAAACGAGAGAAAATTATAATGTAGATAATTAAAAATACGTTTAATAATATCATATCATTGTCATTTCTAATAACTCGCTCGTGAATCTGTACGATTGAAGTTTTCTATGAATAGTTTCAATATTGAAAAATAATCTATCATTCTTCTTTAACAAATTCAATTTAATACATTTCTTTGTACGATTTCTAATTTTTTTTTCGCGATCTAACTCCATTTACGTAAAGCTTACGGATATTTTACTATTCATGAAAGTTTTATTGGTTATTAAGTACCGATTGAATACATTCACGCTTATCTCTCTCTCTCTCTCTTTCTCTTTCTTCTTTTGCTTGGTCCCAACGAAAATGTAAATTGCAGAGAGTATGTAAAATTCGGTGGCCTGTTTAAATCATGTGCCACTAACACCTCCTTCCCTGGCGCCTCTTGCGATCGAACGATCCACTAGTCGGTGTCCTAGTTCACGCACGGCCCTTCACCCTTTCCCTCACCCTTTCGTGCTAGATGCAATGGCACGTCCTCCAGCGCATCGTGCGCGTTTTGCTACCTTCGAGAATTTATATCTGTCGACCAACAGTGCACGAGCCAATAATGGAACGTGGAGTCGCGTCGCCCCTATCGAGGCACACAGCTTACACAGGCCTGACCATTTTGTTCGATCGAATGGCAATTCGGGGTGCGAGAGGATTGAAAGAAAGGTGAGAAATGAGGAGAGGGAGAGAGAGAGAGAGAGTCTCATTTCGATAACAACGAGGCAAAAATTATAACGATGTTATAATCATGCTATACAATTGAATAAATCTCGGTTTATATTAATATCGTGTCTAAATAATTATCAACAGAAATTAAGAGAGATGGAAATGAAAAGGAAGAAGATATACAAAATGATAAACCAATTGAAGAGAAAACCAAGAGAAATAGAAAAAAGGAAACATTAGTAAAGTTCTAGCTAATAAACACGTATTTCGAAAAAACAATGTTTAACATTAATGGACGAATAATAATCATGTCATCGCCAACTAATGGAGCTTCTTCGACGACATTTCCAATAGATTTTGTAAATACGATAAAAGTAGGCTGGAAGGGTAAAGAATAAATGATAGAGGAGGAGATATTTTTTTTTACCGAGAAAACTGTGAAATCAACGAGCACGAATAATACTGAAGACGTTTATAGATGGCTGGTGATCATTCAGAAATATTTTCATCGAAGTCACTAATTTTCTTTTCCTCCCCCCTCTCACACACACACACACACACACACAAACACATACACACATACACACACACATACACACATGCACGCACGCACAAACATACAGACATATACATACACATTTTGTTTTGTAATTTCATCTTAAACTTTTCCTCAATCGTAAGAATTTTTAAAGGACGACGTCTGAAATCTCTTTCAATTAAAAATAATACTCGGAAATTCCATTACATCAGAGGTATCATTTGTCGAAACTACGATTAAGCTCATTTCAGCGACGAATCGAGAAATGCAAGACGACACTTCCTAAATTGTTCAACAACTATATAAAAGGAAACTTAATACTGGTAAGAGAAAAAAATGTATAGTAGCTTCGCTAGCTTCTTGGACGGTTGCTCTTAATTGCTCATCAAGTATATCGAGTCTCTTACTTTCTCCTCTAATTAGATTATATATCCGTAAACGCTAATAAAGGATACGATTCTACGATACTACTTTCGTATTTTGGTTATTTTCGAGTTCGAGTTTGATTACACGATCGATCGGTCATGTACGAATACCGGTACTTCTAGAAAAAAAAAAAAAAAGGATAAGGAGAGACGATCTATGTATTCAAAACGATAATAATCTGACGAACGAACGATGGCGATAATTAAGGCCGGTCGATAACGTCTTCCGCAAGTTGCGTTCATTTTCTCTCTTTCTCTCCCTCTCGTCTCTTCTCTCATTTTTTATTCATATTCGCAAGGTAGGTAATTTCACTATTGTCTATATTAACATATATCGTAAAACTCGAATTGCATGCATTCACCATATTACTGGATAATAATAACCAGAATAGGAAGTGTTTTAATTAAAAAAGGAAATTAGTTTTAATCATAAACCTGACGAAGAAGCAACTAACACTATTAGCTTTCTGCCACTGATTTATGCACTTAGTTTTACAATACAATTCTAAATCTTTCTATTTTTTTATTTTACTTTTTCTTATTTCATCATCGCCATAATGATGTCGATGGTCGCGAACCGATAAATATAGTATATACATTTCGCGAAACAAAGGTAATTGTCCATGAGAATATAAACTTTTGTTACTTTTGCCTCGGATTTGAAATCATCTTAAATCACGCATCGATGCTTCCATGGAGATCGTTTGTATGCTAATGCATTTTCGAGCAACGAACTGTTACAAATTAACATTCTGTCCTTTCGAAGAGCCATAAAAATGACTACGACTGAGAAGATTAAGACGATCTCCTTTTCTGAACTGTTCACACGGACGTCTTTTTTGTTAGCTGACTTTATTGCTCAAGTGTAACATTTAATAAAGGCATACCTATCGATTCTGTGTACAAACGAATCAAATCGATTACTTGCTTGTTACGAAATGAAACGATTAATCGATTATTCTTGCGTCATATATTGAAAAAAAATTAACGTTCACTAATGATAATTCGATCATGAAGTTTACCTTATAGTGAATTGCGCAAACATTTTTATATGAGATACAGTTGTTTTATCAATAGTAACCTAATTTAATAAAAAATAAATAAAAAGGGATATATATCTAGATGTATTAGATTGCAACGAAAATATATTGTTCAAAAAAAACCCATACGCAAGTACGATTGTTAAAACATTCGTCAACTCGAGCATAAATATCGGTTAGTTAGGTAAATGACCTCAATCTAATACTTTTTATCGACTTTAGTAACAGGTAAAGCAAGATACACTTTATCATAATAATTTGTTTTTTGTCTCTTTCAATATAATAAATACTTACCTCCAACGACGATAAAATCGTAGGAATATTCCGGTGGATCAATCGATTTGACCCTTTCACAAAGGAAGGAAATATCTTGTTTAGCTCGTACGTATGTGTCCACGAGTGACATGAACATCAAAAATTGCGATCCTGGACAACTTTGTCCAAGAGTCGGCCCGAGGAACGGTTCCGCGCATTCTACTGTTACCGACACGTTGTATGACATACTGTAAATAAAGAATAGAAAAATATAACATACGACAACAACATAACGATCTTTTGATTTTCTTTATTTCTTTTTTACTTCGTTCATCTTTTCTCTCTCTATAAAATTTTCCGTTTAAAATAAATTAATATTTAACATTAAGATGTGATTGCAAAAGAAGAAAAGGATCGATGCTCTTTATAAAGAGATTCGTGGATGCTGCAGTATTTGTGTTTCGTCAATCCTTCGTTTTTACTTCGTTCTACTGTCCATATCCGGTGCCTGTCAATCTGAGTCATGGCCATATAGAATGCAGCTCGACTAAATAGTGCGAAACTGGAGACTTTCTCACAAAACACATAACGAACTTTTCGCAGTGCATCCGAATGTATATAATATGTTGAATGTTCTCACGGGAAGACTCAACGAATGACATCACATTTTCCATGTCTGATTATTTCAACAAAAATAAATAATGTGCGAATATATTTATTTGCAACGTTACGTGTATATATATATATACATATTTTTTTTTTTTTTATATAACATAAAATATATATATTTTTTCTTTATGTTATTTTATATCGAAAAATAAATAAAAAATAATAATATCAAAATAAATGATAGATATTCAACGTTCAGTACATTATTGAATAATCTAACTAATTAAATGTAAGTAAATCTAATCGATATGATCATCCATCAATTGATATATATATATATATATATATATATATATATGATATATATATATATGATATATATATATATATATATATATATATATATAGAAAAAAAAATAAAATAACAAAAAACAAAAGCGAAAAATAATAAAATAAAATGTTAAAGCGAGATATAGAATATTTATCGAATGAGGATAAAATTTTGCAATCTTATCAATTTTATTTTTGTATAGATAATTTACAAAAATATCTTTGAAGGTTATTATTTTAGAAAAATTCAATTGTATTCTTAACAATCTTATTGTATTAAAAATACATCATATCGATTAAAGATAAAGATATATCATCAGAAACAAAGATGGTAATTTGTAAGGAACAGGAAAAAGATAAATCGGCGATTACTATGATGAATTAAGTTTTTACGACATAATTGGAAGTTCGTTATTCACAGTGAATTGCACGTGCTGATACGTACGATATTATCAACAAATGTATTATAGAAACAAAACAAGTACGTGCAGAAGAAGTACGTACAAAACAAGTACGTACAAAACAAATATATATTAATGATTTAATTTTAAATAAATAAAATACAAACGAATATTATAATCTTTTAATATTTAAAAAAAATATATATATATATACGTGCATATTCGTGCAAAGGAAACTTTATTATACAACTCGATTATTTTCTTTCCTTTGTAATATCACAATTAATGTTGTATGACAACGAGAAAATTATTAAAATATGTGACTTACTTACACTGACCTCTATTCAGGAAATAGTATCAAGCTATTATATCGTACTGTATTAGAAATAACCGGCGCGTGACACTTGTTAATATCGCGTAGACTATAAATCGATTCAAGCTAAGAACGGTAAACGCACTGAACGTTAACTGTAGAACCTCTCACTGCAGAACGCTACTTTATATTCGTCTCCCACTTCGTTGTTTGATTCCCCTACGAAGGCACCTAATGAAATAACTATGTATTAGTATATGTAGATGGGTCATCATGATTAGTACTATGTTATTATCTTTGGGGTATTTTTACTTAACGCTATATTTTACGTTTATATTTTGCAAGGTCAAGTATATTGAACGTTCTTACAAATGAGAAATTAATATATAAACAAATTTCCGATTTGATTAGACGTAGTCTAATAATAGTAGTTCTTCAAAAATAGAATTGATTCTCGCGAAAACAAAGTAAATTTAATTATTTATATATAATTTATCTGAATTAAATAAAAAGAGATATGTATATATATATATATATATATATATATATATATATATATATATATATTATTTAATATCGCAACAAGGAACCAGATCTTGTAAAATGAATTAAAATGAATTAAAATAAAAAATCAAAATAGTTCGCAATCTTGTTCTTTGATATCGTTCGATACGATTGCTCTATTGACAATAATAATAAAATATAAAGAGAAAAACAAAACAACAATAAAAGTTTCGTATATTTAGCTTAATCCGTATCTTCTTTCATTAAATGATGTAAAAATTGTGGGAAGCTTACGCTTCTCTGATAAACGATAATTACTTTTAATTTATCGACTTCTTGGGTAGCCATTTCTTTTGTTTATTATCACCTATCTATCTTATATTATCACCTCTCATTCAAGTGCAATTATGCATAAAAGCAAGTAATAAATTTTGTTGATACTTATATGTGCGTATACGTAATGTTTATGGGTGTAAGACATAAATACATAGATATAGTTAATATATATAGTGTGCGTAAACGCAATGGAGCATGTACGAACAAATCTCGTACATCCTTATAGGTTCGTTTATGCACGTCCTTATACGCTTACGATTTACACGAGTGGCGTTTCGCATATCAACGATGCGTAACACGGTATAACTACGAAAATGGCTATTATCGAAAATTAGTATTGCCATTTCGAGTTAAACAAGGATGATTATTATTATTACATCACGATTATCGTTAACGATCGTACCATTCTGTCCGCTGATTCCCTCTACTCGCACGCTTACTGGTGAGAATTTGACACGTTTGACATAAAATCGATATATCGAAAATTTCTATATAATTAAGATTGGTCATTCTATGATATTTTATGGCATGAAATCGATCGATAATCATTGTTTACGTGACTTTCTGGATCGTCATACTGGTTCTCTTTCTTTTTCTCTCTTTCTCTATCTCTATCTCCGTCTCTCTCTCTCCCTCCCTCCCTCCTCCTTCCATCTCACTCTCTCTCTCTCTCTCTCTCTCTCTTTCTCTCTATTTCTATCTCTGTCTCTGTTTTTGTCTATCTATCGGTTTCCCTCTCTCTCTCTCTTTCTCTCTCTTTGTCCTTATCTCTGTCCTTATCTCCATCTTTTTCTCTTTCTTTTTTGCTTCTTTCTACTTTCTAATTTATATCTAATCCGGAAAATGTTTTCAATAACGATTCATGAAGTTTTTGTACGTACATCTGTGAACGAAAAAAAAGTATATGTTAGGAGTACCTCTCTATTCGATCAAATTTTCGTTATGCTTCTTATATTATCCCTTTGCGAAGGTCTATTTTACAATGAAAAATATCAATAGATACAAATATTACTGGTATAAATTGATATTTTTTCGTTGTAGTATATTATCAGATGTATAACGAAAAAAAAAATAGAAAGGGAAATTTGATTGAATAGAAATGAAATCTCCATTATATGTTATTTCTGTCCACAACTGTATGTATACGATATTATTCAATATGTTTATTTAATGATACATTAAGTTAAAAAATTATAGCTGGTTTACCTTTTTAAAATTATCCGCAATTTCTAGTTAAACCGCAATTGCTTATTTTCCATTGGCTTCCAATCAAACGTATTTATATAATGAATGCTTATATTTTTGTCGTAGTATTACTTGCTTCACTTTAACGCTTGTATTAACATTTATAATATCTTTTTCGTATCAAAAAATATATGAAAGAACCAATTCGAAAGTTGCGATAAAATGGTGATTGCGTAAGGTTTTCTTTCTTTCTCTCTTTCTCTCTCTCTCTCTCTCTCTCTTTCTCTTTCTCTTCCTCTTTCTCTCTCCCTTTTTTTCATTTCCCTAACGATTTCGAAGAAACCTTGAAATTTTGTTTCACGCGTTCCTTGTGGCAAATTCGCATTGTTCGAACCCACGTTGCGTATAGTCGTTGGAACAAAAATCATATTTCGCGGGAAACGTTGCAACGCTCGACAATAGAACTTCCGGCTTTTTTCCGGTTGTCACAACTGCTATGCCGTGCTGGCAAAGGTCTTCGATAAATTCTGGCTTATACGTCCAACGAGAGAAGCAGTAGTAGTGTAATTGTATACGCCTGCGTACAGTCAAAATACACCAGGGTATAACATAGGAGAAAGAGAGAAAGACAAAGAGAAAGGGAGAAACGAAAATAGAGATGCGGAAGGTTTCAAAAAGAAGGAGAAAGCAACAAAATATGAAAAAGAAAAACAGAGCCACTTTCATTACTGTCACTGTTATAATCTTTGACTACGGCAGTACTCGTAATAAGATTTATTTTATTAAATAAAGTGCAAAATAATGAGATACTATAAAAGATTTATCTGAATATCATTAACGAATGATAAATATAAGATAAAAAAATTCGTGCACCATTATCTCTATAATAGAGTACCCAATTATCGCTATTATTTAAATTATCAACCGACGGTAATTTCATGGAATTCAAATTTCAATGATATTTAAATTCTTTAGAAAATATGTTATTAAACGATGAATAACATACCTTGATGGATATGTATGGATATATTTTTTTAAAATTCTAGAAAATTATTTGCAAATTTATTAGATGATAAAGATATAAAAAAATTTTATACTTTTATTTTTTATAATACACAAAATATAAATTTGATCTCTCTCTCTCTCTCTCTCTCTCTCTCTCTCTCACTTTCTCTCTCTTTCTGTTTTGTCTCTCGCGTAGTATGCGTAAAATAAAAAAGAAGATTTAAGTATAATCTTAAAAAAATTGCTTTCATTTTTTTAACTTAATCTTCCTATTTCCCGATTATCATCATAAAGTTCTTTCATTGAAAGCTACCAGTGGCATATAACGAAAATCCAGAAACTCGAAAGAAGTTACTACTATCTTCGCAAAGTAGCAAGTAAAGTTTCTCTTTTAACGCGTAATACACCATAGAAACGTTAAAGTATGCCGTTGAAAGATGCCAATTAAAGGATCAAAATACCTCCCTCCCTTAGTGTTCGTCATAATTTTTTTAAAATCGATAAGATCATTTCCGTGCAATGTTCTTTCCTAATTTTTAATTAACGAAACTTTTCGCATTACGTTTGCACAATATACTCTATGCACATATTTTGCGTAGCATACTAACTTGTTTACTTGTTGGTACAAAGAGAAAATTCTATGTATCTACGAGAAAAAAAAAGAACCAAGTAAATATGAAAATTTAAAGGAAAATCGCAAAAGATTGGAATTAAAAAGAATTCCGACATATTTAATTATGATAGAACGGAATAAATAGAATATAAGATACCTGTCATGTTCCGTCACATTCTTTGACAAAAAACGACAACATAACTCTTAGAATTGAATAACAGGCTAATAAAACCCATCATTTTATTTTTCAGATATATACAAAAAAAAAATAAGACATAATAAATATCATGAAATCGTTGTTTAACAGAAAACATTGAAATATATATATATATATATATATATATATATATATATATATATATATTTAATGGAGAAGTAAAAATATCACAAATAAAAGATTCGTGTTCTTATTAAATAAGATAGAAGAAAAGATTTAATAACGTTCAATTTAAAATTTAATTCCACATTCGCAAAAATAATTGCGGAAGATCCAAGTATATTGTAGTATCAAAAGGGCTTACCAAACTTGAATCGATCTCTATAAGACTTTTCCATCCTGAAAAGGTACTTTATTTTATCATCACATCATTTAATTTTGTTCAATTCGTATTGAATTGAAAAAAATAGATACGAAAGAAAGGAAACGTTACATGAATCGCTTCTAGATGTCAATATAACAACTTCAATCAATACAACATTTGAAGAATTTGAACTTCTCACTAATCAATAAAAATTGATATTACAATACTTTGCTTATTTCATATTCTATTATCTCTGTAATTAGAATATAAGTAATTAAGATATTATTTATATCAATTCAATTAAATTATAAAAGATAAAAGCGATATGAGATTTTTTTTTATGTCTATATATATATATATATATATATAGATGAGACACAATTTATTTCATATTCAAATTTCAGATTTGAATTTAATATAACTATATTATAAATAGAAAATCATAAAAGCCTTAACCATAAAAAGGAAAGTTATATTTAGAAAATCAAACAGTCGGTTAAAATATCAGATATTTGCAGTAGCTATTTCTAAAGTGCTTCGTATCCCTTTCGTCTTTTTCATCTGGCTCTCTCTAAGGCCACAAAAGTAATAACGTTAACAAGACTACTGGTATACCTCTGAGCTATAGATATCCGAAAATATCTTCCTGAGAAAGTAATACTTTTTACAAGAAATTCTAGATTGCGTTTACAAATGGATTATATCTCTTTCTTTTTTTCTTTCTTTTTTTCTTTCTTTTTGAAGATTTATCTCATCGCAATAAGAGTGAGGTATTAATACTTAATAAAAATTATAACGATAATAAGAGAAAATCTACTGTATTTATTTCATACAAAATCATTTCCAATATCCCGTTATTTTTATTCATGATATTTTCACAAGATCCTTTTTCATTGGTAACTATCTTTCGCCGAAGATTACCAATCCGCTCACTATGAGTAATATATTTCTTCCAAAGGTATTTCCGTAGATTTTTTTCTCAAGCTTATCTGCCTAATCATGGAGAAACAAAGGATAT